TTTTTTGAGATGGAGTCTTGCTTGGTCATCCAGGCTGGAATGCACTGGCTCTATGTCAGCTCACTGCAACCTCCGCCTCGTGGGTTCAAGCAGTTCTCCTGCCTCAGTGTCCTGAGTAGCTGGGACTATAGGTGCTTGCCCCGACACCTGGCTAATGTTTTGTATTTTTAGTAGAGATGGGGTTTCATCGTGTTAGTCAAGAGTCCAGCTGGTCTCTAGCTTCTGACCTTGTGATCCCTCCCCACCCACCTGTCCCTCCGGCCTCCCAGAGTGCTGGGATTACTGGCGTGAGCCACTGCACCTGGCCCAAAATGTTCTTTTGAGGCAGCGTCATCAGTGCTTTCTGTGTAATGCAGTTAGCGCTGCTGTGTGTCAGAGTGTTCCTGGAGGCTGTTATGGCATCCCACGGTTGGATGGAAGGGAGGGGGAAGGAGTGCTAATGCTGAGTGTAAAGTATGATTAGGAGATCCAGGTATGGTGGCACATATCTGTAATCTCAGCTACTGTACTCAGGAGGGTGAGGCATGAGAATCGCTTGAATCACAGGGGTGGAGGTTGCAGTGAGCAGAGATCACGTTACTCACTATACTCCAGCCTGGGCAACAGTTTCTTTTTGAGACTCTGTCTCAAAAAAAAAAGGTACAATGAGGAGAGCTTTAATTTCAGCCACTTCTCAGTGTACGCTGGTTGGCTTGCCCACCTTTAGAGAGGGAAAAGATGGTTTGCCTTCAATGACCTGGATATTTTTTTCACTACTAAAAATACAAAAATTAGCTGGGCATGGTGGTGTGTGCCTGTAATCCTAGCTACTCAGGAGGCTGAGGCTGGAGAATGGCTTGAACCTGGGAGACAGGTTGCAGTGAGCTGAGATCACGCCATTGCTCTCCAGCCTGGACAACGAGAGCGAAATTCCATCTCAAAACAAACAAACAAAAAATACAAAGTTTTTCCTTTTTTTGAGATAGTTTCAAGTCAATATAGACTGTGATCTTGTGTGCCTGAGATGTAGCACTTCCTCTTAGAGTGGTCATGGAGAAAAGGTTCAGGCAGTTGGGGTGGAAGGTGCTGGCTTCCTGTTGGATGGAGATTGTGATGTGACTGTGTGATTGTCCCCTGCTATCCCTGTGCTGCCTCGCCCTTGGTAGTGACCCCCAGACTGACGGGGACTTTATTCCAGCAGGAGGTCACTATTTGCTGCTCCTGTGAAGATGTCCACTCCAGACCCACCCCTGGGCGGAACTCCTCGGCCGGGTCCTTCCCCAGGCCCTGGCCCTTCCCCTGGAGCCATGCTGGGTCCTAGCCCGGGTCCGTCACCGGGCTCCGCCCACAGCATGATGGGGCCCAGCCCAGGGCCCCCCTCAGCAGGACACCCCATCCCCACCCAGGGGCCTGGAGGGTACCCTCAGGACAACATGCACCAGATGCACAAGGTAGGGAGCCCCTTGCGCCTACGACCCCTGCCCCCTAGGGCTGCAGGCAGCCTCTGGACCGAGGCCCTTACTCGGAGGCCAGGGAGGAAGCCTTCTTGTTGGATGTGGCCTGCCTTGGCTCAGCCCCCACCCCAGGACCCACTGCCGTGAACAGAGGGGTCAGCTTGTCGGACCCCCACCCTGTGCTGGCACATGTTCTGGGCCTGAGCAGCACATCCTGGCCCCCAAGGGTACCTGCCCCACCATTTCCCGCTCCCTTGCTTTCTGCATGGGAAATTTGGGAATAGCACTCCAAAGTTTTCTTTTGGTAATGAAGAACAACATCCAAATTCCTAAAAAGGCTTTTAGCCACATTGTCTCCCACGTTCTGGCTGTGGGGCTCACCTGTGCAGCTCGCAGAGCCGAGCAGTTGGTACCCTTTGCTCCAAGGTGTGTCCCTCAGCCATTCTCCTTACCACTCATTGGGGCCAAGCGGGGCCTTCAGCCAGCGAGTCGGAGAAGCCGCTTTAAGGGGCCCCAGGAGGTCCTGGGTGGTAGAGATGAGGATTAGTTGACCACAGACTCTCAGGTGCTCACACTTCACTGGGCAACATTATTTTGTGTATCTATCTTGGAGCCAAGCCACTTAGTCATGCTGGGGATGGGGGAGATGCACACTGTCGTCGGGTGGCTTAGCTGAGCCACCACCTCCTGTTCCACATGTTGACCCTGCCTTGTCATTGTCCCTCTCACAGCCCATGGAGTCCATGCACGAGAAGGGCATGTCGGACGACCCACGCTACAACCAGATGAAAGGAATGGGGATGCGGTCCGGCGGCCACGCTGGGATGGGGCCCCCGCCCAGCCCCATGGACCAGCACTCGCAAGGTACCCAATTGCATCCCTTCCTGTCTTGTGTTTGCCACACACCAGAGTCCTCAGATCATTTTCCTCCCCTGGGTTCCCATGGATGGATTCAGGGAGTGCCTAGGCTGATGTAGTGGGTGAGTGGCCCACCACAGAGGGCTGTCTGGCGTGGTGTGGCTGGTGTTCTGTTCTGATCACCTTGTCTTGGAGCAGCCCCAGAAGGGCAAATGCTGGTTGTGGGGCAGACCATGTTTAGCATGGGGGATAGAGGAGGGCTGTGCAGAGCAGCAGCCTGTGCCACCCGGGTGCTTACTGGAAATATAGATTCCTGGGCCTGCGGCTCTGTTTAATGAGTCCAGTAGGTGCCTTTTCTGTACGAGGGCAATTGAGAAGTGATATGGTAAGTGAATTGCCAAGCCCTTGCTGTCATCAGGTGGGAAGCTCAGGGGCTCCACTGGGAGTGGAAGTGTTGGGGGTGGGCCCGAGGATGTGCACCCCGTCTGTGTGCAGGCAGACGGAGGCTGGGAGAGAGCCCTGATTTCATGTTCAGGTTCTTGACATTAACCAGCAGCCCTACTGAGATGTGGGCCAAGCCAAACCCACCATGCAGGTGCTGGGCCTCCAGCACATGCCCTCCAGGCGCCCCTGGTTGACTCAAGAGAAGGAAGCCATTTGACTGTGTCCTATCTCAGAGTAGGAGCTGGTGTAGGGGGAAGAGGTTGTAAAAATTACAGACGTTTGCTGCCAAGTGACCAGTGGGTTGGCCTTTCTCTGCAGGTTACCCCTCGCCCCTGGGTGGCTCTGAGCATGCCTCTAGTCCAGTTCCAGCCAGTGGCCCATCTTCAGGTCCCCAGATGTCTTCCGGCCCAGGAGGGGCCCCACTGGATGGTGCCGACCCCCAGGCCTTGGGGCAGCAGAACCGGGGCCCAACCCCATTTAACCAGAACCAGCTGCACCAGCTCAGAGCTCAGATCATGGCCTACAAGATGCTGGCCAGGGGGCAGCCCCTCCCTGACCACCTGCAGATGGCCGTGCAGGGCAAGCGGCCGATGCCTGGGATGCAGCAGCAGATGCCAACGCTACCTCCACCCTCGGTGTCCGCTACAGGACCCGGCCCTGGCCCTGGCCCTGGCCCCGGCCCTGGCCCTGGCCCGGCACCACCAAATTACAGCAGGCCTCATGGTAAGGCTGGCTCTCCTGGCCCTCAGGTGTCTGAGAGCGAATGGCTGGGGTGTGGGTGGTGGGGTGGACAGACCTGGGCTCCGCTGCCAACTGGCTTCCCCACTTTGGGATTGCATGGGGCCCATGCTGCACTTCCGGTGCTTGGGTGTAGGAGGTGGCGGCTGTCCTGCTACATGCTGCTTTCCCAGCTCCCCTTTCCCCTGGGGGAGCTTGTTGATAGGGCATATCTGCTGTGTCCCCTGGAGCCAGGGCTGCCCACCAGGGCTGGGCGTGGGCATAAACCCGGGATGCACTGTTTTCTGTTTTGTTTGTTTCTCCCTATGTGTAGGTATGGGAGGGCCGAACATGCCCCCACCAGGACCCTCAGGTGTGCCCCCTGGGATGCCGGGCCAGCCTCCTGGAGGGCCCCCCAAGCCCTGGCCTGAAGGTGAGCTCCCTCCTCTCTGGTGGTGCACCCATGTCACAAGCTTGGGTGACACAGGCCTTGAGATGAGCCCCGGCAGAGAGAAAAGGCTGAGGGTGGTCAGGCCGAACTGCATCCTGTACTTTTCTTGTGGCCATCCCTGGGTCTCCCCTGTATCCAATCATTGCCCAGAGGCCTTCGTTTCATCCCCTCCTCTGACAGTTGGTGGCCTTCCCTGAGTCCCTGAGCCTTGTCAATGTAGTTGCTCAGTAAGTACTGCAGGCTCCCATTGGTTGGGCTCAGAGGCAGTGGTACTCATTACCTGCCCTCTTGGAGCCTGAGGTTTAGCGATAGACTCTGAAGGCAAGTTGCGTCCATTGGATTTAGCCGGTACTAGAAGAAGGTGACAGGAAATGCTGCTGTAGGTCCAGACAGAACAAAAAAGCCTTGGGGGCGTGGGGCTGGGCGCAGCGGAGGGTTTGAGGGGTGAGGCTGAGATCTGGAGGAGGTTGGAGCCCAAGGCGGGTGTGAGGACACCCCTGGGTGAGAGGTGGGAGATGGGTGGGGTGGGGCCTGGAGCAAGCAGCAGCTTTCTGTTTCCAGCCCAGGATGGGCCCCAGAGCGCAGCATGATACCCTGGCTTCTTGCTTCTTCCCAGGACCCATGGCAAATGCTGCTGCCCCCACGAGCACCCCCCAGAAGCTGATCCCCCCTCAGCCAACAGGCCGCCCTTCCCCTGCGCCCCCTGCTGTCCCACCTGCCGCCTCGCCTGTGATGCCACCCCAGACCCAGTCCCCCGGGCAGCCGGCCCAACCTGCGCCCATGGTGCCACTCCACCAGAAGCAGAGCCGCATCACCCCCATCCAGAAGCCTCGGGGCCTCGACCCTGTGGAGATCCTGCAGGAGCGCGAGTACAGGTGAGGGCGCAGCCCCACTTCCCAAGGTCACTCCCTTCGGTCTGCCATGTACCCCTAGGGAAGCCACTCAACTTCCTCCCCAACCCTGGGAAATAGTGCCCTGTGCCCACCACTGCCACTTGGCCTGTACCTCCTTCCTCACCTCCCTGCTCCCACCTTGGCTGCAGTCTGTTTCCCACACAGCAGTTTGATTTCTCTTTTTATGATTGATGAACATCAGATCTACTCCCTGGATTCAAACCTGCCTGTAGCCTCCAATTGTCTGCCCAATAAGCTTTCCAAAACTTAATGTCCACTCCTGCCCAGCATCCTTCCTCACCCACCCTACTCTCTCTGTTCTTCTTTTCATTTATTTAACAGGTTAGGCTTGTTCCTGCCCTAGGACCTTTGCACAGGTTGTGCGTGGCTCCTTCTGCCCATTCAGGCCTCATTGCTGGGGTTCCCTCTTCATAGAGGCCCTTCCTGTCACTTCCAGCCACTCTCTGGAATTGCAGTGGATATTTTATTTTTTTATCTCCTTTATGGCTGGCTTTTTCTAATGAGACTGAAAGCTCCTCGAGACCAACAAACAGCCTTATTTGTCTTGTTTAGTGGCCCTGCACTCAAAATGGTCCCTGGCATACAGTTGGTGCTCAATGAGTATATGCAGAAAGACTGATTAAGAGGATCCTCCCACATAACCTTCCCGTGTAACCTTCGTGACCTTCAGATCAAGCCTGTAAGGTCACTCCGAGGGGTCTCCTGAGTATTGAGATGAGAACACTGAGGTGCGCAGGTGAAGTCGGTTCCGACAGCCCCGTGTCTCATCACGCCAGGGCTGGGTGGAAACCCTGGCCCACCTGATGCAGGGCCTGGCTCACACCGCTGAAAAGCCATGACCTGACCGCCCCTATCAGGAATCTTCTTTGCTGCCCCTGGAGCCCCAGTCCTGAGGAGTCCCCTGGGTTGCCTCCCTCTGCGCTCTGCCCTACGGCCAGCATCCTATTCTGTGGCGTCTCTTGCCTTGTGACCGGTGCCTGCTTCCCCTCGAGAGACAGGCCTCTGCAGCCCCAGCTGTAACCAGTTGGCCTAGCAAGCCTCTCACTGCCTGTGCTCCTCGTCCTTGCTCCCAGGCTGCAGGCTCGCATCGCACACCGAATTCAGGAACTTGAAAACCTTCCCGGGTCCCTGGCCGGGGATTTGCGAACCAAAGCGACCATTGAGCTCAAGGCCCTCAGGCTGCTGAACTTCCAGAGGCAGGTGGGTGCCGGCACAGCTTCGGCTTTCAGAAAAGGGCCCTTGTTACCAGCACTGCTGCTAAGCCTCCAAGTTCAGCTTGCCTGGCTAGTATTACATGTACTTGGGCTGTGAAAAGCAGCTGTGGCCACCCATCGGCGTTTACTCACTGCACAGCCTTCCTCTCGTGGCGTGCACAGTGGTGGGGGCGTGGACCTTGCTACCCTAAAGCTCTTGCTTCCTTGAACCAGGAGACTCGCATGGGTCTTTTTCTTTTCTTTTTTCTTTCTTTTTTTTTTTTTTTTGAGACAGTCTCACTCTGTCGCCCAGGCTGGAGTGCAATGATAACGATCTCCACTCACTGCAACCTCCGTCTCCCAGGATCAAGCAGTTCTCCTGCCTCAGTCTCCCAAGTAGCTAGGATTACAAGTGTGTACCACCATAACCGGCTGATTTTTATATTTTTAGTGGAGATGAAGTTTTACCATGTTGGCCAAGCTGGTCAGTACTCCTGAACTCAAGTGATCTGCCTGCCTTGGTCCCTGAAAGTGGTGGGATTACAGGCATGAGCCACTGCACTGGGCCCTACACGGGTCTATTTTTGAGGGTGCTATACTTTTTTTTTTTTTTTTTTTTTTGATAGGGTCTCACTCTAGCTCAGGTTGGAGTGCAGTGGAGAGATCACATCTCACTGCACACTCAACCTCCCAGGCTCAGGTCATTGTCTTGCCTCAGCCTCCCGAGTAGCTGGGCCTATAGGCATGTACCATTACACCTGGCTAATTTTCTTGTTTTTGGAACAGGGTCTCACTCTGCTGCCCAGGGTGGAGTGTAGTGGTGCTATCTCGGTTCACTGCAGTTTTTCCTCCAAGGTTCAAGTGATTTTCCTGTTTCAGCCACCAAGTATCTGGGATCACAAGAGTGGGGCACCATGCCGGGCTGATTTTTTTTTTTTTTTTTTTTTTTTTTTTTTTTTTTTTTTTTTTTTTTTTTTTTTTTTTTTTTTTTTTTTTTTTTTTTTTTTTTTTTTTTTGAGAGAGAGAGTCTTACTCTATCGCCCAGGCTGAACTGCAGTGGTGCGATCTTAGGTCATTGCAACCCCTGCCTTCCGGGTTCAAGTGATTCTGCCCCCTCAGCCTCCCATGTAGCTGGGATTACATGCATGCACCACCATGCCTGGCTATTTTTTGTATTTTTAGCAGAGACAGGGTTTTGTCATGTTGCCCAGGCTGGTCTCAAAACTCCTGAGCTCAAAAGTGCTGGGATTACAGGCATGAGCCACTCTTCCCGGCCACCTGGTTAATTTTTCTTTTTGTTTTTGTAGAGATGAGGTCTCTCCATATTGTCCAGGTTGATCTCAAACTCCTGGGCTCAAGCGATCCTCCCACCTTGGCCTTCCAGAGTGTTGGGATTACTGATGTTAAGTCACCATGCCCAGCCAAGGGTGCTGTACTTCTGAATGACTCCTAAGAGGCTGTATGTGGGGTGGAGGGGAGGCAAGCTGAAGGTCCGAAAGGACCCCCTGGCTGGGTGTCCAGAAATGATCACCTTCTGTCCTGTGCTCGCCCTGCCTGGGGGCACCTACTAGGCGTCCCCTGCACACATGGACTGGCTGTGTAAGGCACTTACAAGGCTCCTTTAGCGATGTAGTGTGTGATATCACCATGTGTGTTCATTATTGTGGGTGCCGCAGAGCCGTGTAGAGAGCAAGCTTGTCCTCTTCCCTCCTACAGCTCCGCCAGGAAGTGGTGGTGTGCATGCGGAGGGACACGGCGCTCGAGACGGCCCTCAATGCCAAGGCCTACAAGCGCAGCAAGCGCCAGTCCCTGCGTGAGGCCCGCATCACTGAGAAGCTGGAGAAGCAGCAGAAGATAGAGCAGGAGCGCAAGCGCCGGCAGAAGCACCAGGTACACCCGGGCAGCCCCAAAACCCTGCAGCCCGCCCACCTGGCCACCTGGCCGCCTGGCTTGTCCCAGCGGTTGCCCTGGGGCTGTGTTCGCTTTGTTCCTAAACATGCTGCTTGCCTCTCCTTTTGCTCATCGTAACAGTATTCTAGGCACTGGGAGCGTATTGGTGTAAAAACCCAATGGTAGGGAGAACACAGACAGTGATCAAATCCATGCTTAGCACATCTGGAAGGTGATAGGGCGCAAAGAAAAGTCAAGCCGGGATAGAGAAAAGGAAAGGGCTGTTGTAGACATGATGTTGGGGCAATTCTCTGTTTTGGAGGTAACATCTGGGCAGAGCCCCAAGGGAGGGAGCCGCACACGTGTGGGCAAAGAACTTTCCGGGGAAAGGGAAAGGTGCAAGGGCCCTAGGCTCGAACATGCCTGTGTCTTTAATGGAAAGCGAGGACCTGCGTGTAGCCAGAGTAGATTGAGTAGCAGGGAGAGCTGGAGGCAGGAGGGCAGGGAGGTGACAGGCAGGTGATGCAGGGCCTTATGAGCTGCAGGGAGGGCTTTCACTGTGAGTGCCACAGAGGGTTCTGGGCTTTGTAGGGACTGATGTGACTCCGGGTTTCACAAGATGAATTGATGAGATGAAAGTCTTGAAGTCTAAAATCAGTTAAGGATTTGGGCATGATGGTGCTTATTTTGGTCATTTATATATTTTATAAAGATTTTCTTTTTTTTTTTT